ACTGCAGTTAAGGGGGAGGCCTGGAATCCAAACCTGGGAGTCTGCCCCTAGATGCAAATTCTTAACCACTGGACCCCATGGGGCTGGCATCAGGGAGGGGAGAGGGAAGAGGGCTGAGAAAGGAGGAATAAGCGGAGGACCAGGACAGAGGGTCTACAGGTGGAGAGGAGAGAGGTCAGGATTCAGCCAATGGGAAGGGTTGCCGGGGGAGGCGGGGCGCGCTGGGTCAGAGTTTGGGTTCTGAAGAAAAAGCTGAGCAGGGGACGCTAGGGAGATGGTCTTCCCCCTTATTCATCCTCTTCCCAGAATCCTTTGCACAAGCCTGTTTCCTTTCAGATTTAGGGACTCACCCCAACCCCTAAGCCCAAACAAGTACCTCCTGACCCCTCCCCCTCGCAAGTACTGCCCGCCCCCTCCCAGCTGGTCAGCTACAAGTCAGTCACCATGGCAACGCCCTCATTCCTCCCAGGAGATGGGCAGGGAGCTGGGGCCCTGGCAAGGGGGAAGGAGATCTGGGGGGGCCGACTCAGGCCCAAGGGAAACTTGTGTGGAGAGGACTAGGAAGTCCAGCCGCCTCTGCCCCTGGCCCCAGGAGAGCTTGGCCAGGATGGGCCAGCAGGTGTCCTGAGCTCAGATGGGGTGACTGGGTAGGGACCGGGCCTGGAGTTGTTCTTATGGATTCCCTAGGCAGCCTCTCTGATCCATAGTACCATCTACCTCTTCCCACTCAGCATGGCCCCTCCCTCAAGAACCTGCCTCACCCCTACCTTGCTGCTAATAATGGAAGTAGGTGTCCATGCCTAGGAAGGTACAGAGGCCTCAGTGCAGGGCCCGGGAAGCAGGTGGGAACACAAACCTAGGGGAGTCTAGGTACAGAAAGAGCCTGAAGCTCAGGGTAGCAAGGCATGGGGAGGTCACGGGGGGCTCATGCGTGGAGCCTGACACTCAACAATGACAGGTGTCTTATCTCAGGCTTCCAACTCCAGGGCCAGCGCCACGCCTGGCCCTGGCATCCCATCCAGCTGTTCGCCTGAACCCACCTCCCTCACCCCTCCCAGGCCAAAGCCCAACTTGGCAGGGTGGGTGCACACACTTGATTCTTTCCTACTCTCTGGTTTTCCCAGGCGCTGGCAATCTTCCTGCCCCTCCTCCACCACTACCCAGGAGGAATTCTGAGAAGCTAGAGGGGCCTGGCTACTCCCCACCCCTACCCAGGCTAGGAGCAACTGGATGGAGCAGCTGGGAAGAGGGGACCCAGGAGTCTGGAATATGGTCATTTGAAGGAATGCTTTGGGTTCAAGGGCCAAAGCCTCAGAAGAGGGGAGGGGGCCCAAGGAACCATACAGGGTGGGCAGGTGCCTAGCAGATTCTTTCCCCCTTCCCCTCAACCTGGGCACTCAGCCAGTGGCCTGAGGAATAGAGCCCCTATCCTGGCTCTATTTCAGCTAATTCCCTGGGCCCCCTCCCCTGGGGTATAGGACTTGAAGGAAAGGCTTTTTGAGAAACCAGGGCCCCTTCCTACCCATCAAAGCATCCTCTCCTCCCGCAGAGAGCAGGGAAGACTGAGGCCAGAAGGTGAGCCTTCCCCATTTCTCAAGCCTGACATTCCATACTGTATCCGCCTCTCCTAGCTTCAGCTCTGCCTCATTCCAGGAGGAAATCCGACCCCCTCCCTTCATCCGGACCCCACTTCCCTCAACCAGAACCCCCCCCCCCCCCCCCCCCCCCGCTTTTCCTGTCAGCTCCTCGGTGGAGAGATGAGGAGTGGAGAGCACGGTTTCAGGCAGGGATGGGGTCCAGAGGCGATTAGAGGGAAGAGTAACCGGGGTCGTGGGGCAGGAGGCTGGAAGGTGGGCGCAGGGCTGGAGTGGGCGGAGGCCCCCGAGAAGCCAGGCGTCGGTAGGGAGTCATGGTCTAGCTCTCCCACCCTCTCCCACTGCGGGAGCCCACCCCACCCCCACCTCACACACCCACCTGGGCCCGTGAGGCGCCGGGAGGCTCTCCTTCACTGCTATGGAGAGGTTAGATGAGGAGGGGGTGACCTGGGGACGGGCTGGGGATAGGAGTAGCCGGAGGTCTGCTGGACGGGGACCCAGGCACCTGCCCTCCCAGCCGGCACAGCCCACAGCCAGCTAGCCAGCTCAGCATGGCTCCGCCACCACAGCCCTGCCATGCGCTTTGGCTGGGAATCACCACGTACCCCTTTTTCCAGACCCCCCCAAAGTGCAGCCCCTCCCTCCTCAAGGGCTGACAGCGTTTCTTTGGTACACCCCCAATTCTGAACCCGGGGGGGCCGGCCGGGGGCTGTCCGCCCACCGCCTCACCCACTCCCCCTCCTCCCCTCCCCCCCCTCCCAGCCCAGCTCCAGGCGCCCAGCCCCGGTTCGGGTCCAAGGTGGCAGCCGATGCTCGCGCCCCCACCCAGCCCGGGTCGGGAGCTAGGAGCCCGCAGGGGGCTGCGGAGCGGGCGCCCGCCCCAGCCCGCCCCTGGGCGGGTGTCTTCGGTAGACAATGGCTCAGGCAGCAGCGCCTCGCGGACCAGGAGAGAGAAAAACAAGGCGAGAGGGGGCGGCGGCGCGGAGCCCGGGGACCCCCGCTCTCCCCATTGTGTCTCCCCGAGACCCCCGCCCCGGCAGTCGCCCTCTCCCTCCCTTCTCTCCCCAGTAAGCGCCGACCCGGAGTCGCCGGGCTCCCCCCACCCAAACCCAGGGAACAGAGTACCCCCCAATTCGCGAGCGCCGCGAAGAGGGGCTGGCGGGCGGGGGCCCGATCGAGGGGGCACAGGCCCGCGATCGCTGCCCCTGCTGGCCGAGACTCACCCTGCGGGCTGGGGGGCTCCGGCGGCGACTTGCCGGGAGCCCGGGAGGCGCCGCCGAGCAGCAGCCCCAGCAGCGGCAGCAGCCGCGCGAGGACGCTGGGGCCACTCGGCGGCGGCATCGCGGGGCTCGGCCGGGCCCTAGCGGCCCATGGCTCCCGCCCGGCCCCGCTCGGCCGGCCCCGCTCAGCCCCGGCTCTGCGCCGCGCCGCGCCGCTCGGGCTCCCGCTCTGGCCGCGGCGGCCGCTCACCGCGATTGTCTCCGTCCGGAGCCGCCGCCAGCGCCCCCTGCAGGCGGCGCCCCACCCCGCGGACCTCGGGGCGCCGCCCCCTCACCGCCCGGCTCCGCGCGCCGCCCGCCGGCCCTGCCCGCCCTCTGCCCACCCTGCAGCCCCCATACCCGAGCTGCAAGGGAGTGCGACGGAGAGGGTCCAATCACCCGGCTTTTTGGAGGTCCAGAGCCCTCGAACTTTGGTGCAAAATCTGGGAGGGAGGAAAGGCTACTGCTTACAACACACTCACAGAGTAGTACGGTCATGAGTGCCTCCAGAAAGTGTAGGAACTGCCCAGTTCTATCGGCACAAACACCCACGCAGTGGGGAATCGGTCAGTTCCAGTCTAGCTTCTGCCTCTTGAGCTGAGAGCAAGTTACTTCGCCTTCTGGTCCTGGGCCTTTCTTTCAAGTGAGAACTGTAATAATCTCTACCTCGTGAGGCTGTTGTAACAACGGTTAAATGAGATAACAATATAAAGGATCTAGCGTATGCTTGACAGGAGCAGGGGCGCGATCGATGGTGCTGGTGTTGGCCCAGGATGAGGTGGAGGCTCACCTCCGCTCAGGTAATAAGATCCATTGTTGGACGGTCATAATGCTTGGGAATTTCTTCTAGAGACGCGAGCGGCCTTTCCCTCTCACTGAGAATCATCATTCGGTCCCACTGGTTCTGGTTCCTGAATGGCAGTCTTTTCCTTCTTCCTCAGCCACTGAACCCCACATTTAAAGCCTGACCTAGGCCCAGCCCTGCTTGCTTTCTTTCCAGGTTCTGGTTGTCATCCTCATTCAGCTCCTGGGTGGCCAAATCCTCATCTAATCTGGTATCCCTCTCTTGGTTTTCCCTGGCTTTCACTTCTTCTCACAATGTGGTGCCCCAAAGGGGACTGGATATCTAGAGCAAGGACCTTGTCCCCCAGAGGACAGCAGGCTTCTCTCCTGGTTGGGTCCCCTGGTTGGCTCTTCTGACTTAAGGGGACCTTGTTGTGAGTTTGTGATGCCCGATTCTTTTTTTCCCCCTCTCCTCCTCCCCCTTCTTCCCTCCCTCCCTCCCTCCCTCCCTTCCTTCCTTTCTCTTTCTTTCTTCTCTTTCCCTCTCCCCTTCCCTCCCTCTTTCTTTTCTCATAAATTTCCACCTAACCAGATTTCCCAGTCTTCTTCTTATGTAACCAATTTTCCACAATCTCAACACAGGATTTAGCACTCATCCCTGGTGAATTTCATCTTGTTGGTTTCAACCCAACTTCACAATCTGTCAAGGCTGCCTTGAATCCGCTTCAGTCACCCATTGTACTGGAGCTCCCTCACAGCCAGCAGCCATCTGCGGGGTGGAGAGCAGCTTCCCTGCCTCCATTCAAGGGACTCTGGACAATGCCAGGCAGCTCAGGGCCAGGATGGAGCTTTGGAACAACCTCATAGAGCTCTCCTTCAGCTTTATCAAAATTGTTCAGTTTTAAATCCAGCTCACATTTCTGTCTTGTCTATAAGGGAAAATGCCAAATGCTTTGCTGGATCAAGATCAACTGTCTGGGGCTATCCAATTGCAGTGGTGGGGTGGAGAGGGAGTCTGGCTGGTGCGTAAGGATCACAGCGGCTTAACCTTTTCCTAGGAAAAGTCACCCAACTAAAAACCTGTTCTGGAACTTGCCATGCATGGATGTCAAATTGTTTTCTTTGCAAAATTTACTTTTTATCCCTTTGGGTAAAATCAAATACCAGCCGCTCTTGTGAGGTAAGTCTATTCATCAATGGCCTCCCCCAACACTTAGCATCTAGTCCAAACTCCTACCCATGGCCAAAAGGCGCTGCCTACCTGCCCCCACCCCTGACCTCATCTGCACCCTGTGCCGCCCTCCAGTCCATGGGCCCCCTGGCTTTTATTTATTTATTTAAAAAAATTTGTTTTTAAAGATTTTATTCATTTATTTGACAGAGAGACACAGCGAGAGAGGGAACACAAGCAGGGGGAGTGGGAGAGGGAGAAGCAGGCTTCCCGCTGAGCAAGGAGCCCGATGTGGGGCTCGAACCCAGGACCCCGGGATCATGACCCGAGCCGAAGGCAGACGCTTAACGACTGAGCCACCCAGGCGCCCCTTAAAGATTTTTTATTTATTTAACAGAGAGAGAGGGAGAGACACAGCAAGAGAGGGAACACAAGCAGGGGGAGTAGGAGAGGGAGAAGGAGGCTTCCCGCCTGGCAGGGAGCCCGATGCGGGGCTTGATCCCAGGACTCCGGGATCATGACCCGAGCCGAAGGCAGACGCCCAATGACTCAGCCACCCAGGTGTGCCTCCTGGCTTTTATTTAAACACATCAAGCCTGCTCCCACCCCAGGGCCTTTTCACGGACTGCTCTTTCTGTCCAGATCGTATTATTCTTGTGCAGCTAGCTGGCTCATTCATCCCTCTCTCTGCTCACCTCATCAGAGGCCTTCCCTGACCACTCTACCTAAAATGTCAGTCCTCTCCCACGTAATTCTACCAGAATCTCCTTACCTTGATTTTTACTCCCAGCACTGACCACCACTGACCAGACATGTATGTGCTCATTTACCCTTTTTTTTTTTAAGATTTTATTTATTCATTTGAGAGACAGAATGAGAGAGAGAGAGAGAGAGCACAAGAGGGGGAAGGGTCAGAGGGAGCAGCAGACTCCCTGCTAAGCAGGGAGCCCGATGTGGGACTCGATCCCGGGACTCCAGGATCATGACCCGAGCCAAAGGCAGTTGCCCAACCAACTGAGCCACCCAGGCGCCCCGCTCATTTACTCTTTACCCCTGGTCGAATGTAAGTCTCACAAGGGGCCGGCACTTTGCTTTCTTCACTGCTCCATCTGAGCACTGGGAGAGTACCGGGCACATGGGAGGTGCTCAATCAATATTCACTGAACCCATGAATCAACACATTTCTCGGGACTCCAGGTGGACCCCCCGTCTATCCTGGGACTCCAGTCCTGGCGGGCGGAGGCGGGAGAGTTCTCTTCTGCTCCTAGCGCTCCTGTGAGTTCCCTGCCTGGAGCCCTCTTTCCTAACTGGAGAGCCTTCTCCTTGATGGGGAGGAAGGGTAGCTGGACAGCAAAGCCCGCTCTCCTCTCCCTGGTGTGACGCTGCTTTCCTCAGGCTGAGGGCTTAGTCAGCTTCCCCCGGCCCCCTCCTCACCTGAACATGGCTTTAAAGGCTTTTTTTTTTAATGGGAGCGGGGAGAGCAAGTTATATTCCCGAATCTCAGGTCCACTTGAGGCTTATCCCTCTAAAATCATGAAAAAAAAAAAATTACTGTTGAAAGCTGTCCACCAGGGACCAGCCTGCCTTCTCTGATGCTCCCAGCCTCCATGGCACCCAGCACCCTCAGACACCCCATCCCCCTCCAGTCTCTCCTGGAGGCTCTGCCACCCTTTCTCCTCTGTTCCGCCCCGACTCTCTACTCCCAGACACTCCCCAAAGACACTAATTGGCGGAGACACTCTCTGCACACACTTCTGCCAGCCCCAGCCCCTCCCTCCAAACATCACCTGTCCCTGGTCCCCTTCTCTTCGCAGACCCAAGAGGAGGCAGCATGCAGGGGGTTGGGGCTCAGCCTCTTTATTGGGCAGCAGGGAAAGGAATGGGCAGCTCTCACCGGAGGGGGAGAACACCAGGAGGCCTCCATGGTGTTCACCAACTCGTGGGTGAGCAGAGTGGGGGGGGGCACACGTTGAAGATTGGGCAGAGCAGGCACAGACCCCAGCCTTCCTCCTAGGACAGGGCGCGGGCTGCCCCCTCACTCCTCCTCATCTTCTTCTAGTGGCGGCCGGTTGCGCTTGAAGAAGCCGACCTGGGGGTGCACAGGGGCCGGGGACAGGGTGTAAAGATGATCAGTGGGCCCACCGAGCAGCAGTTGAAGAAGCAGGCTAGAAAGCAGCCAGTCTTGAGGTCCTCCCCCTGGACCAGCAGAGAATCAGATCCCACTGCATGCACAAATGGAGGCCTTCCCCATTCAGAGATAACAGATGTAACAAGTTACTTGTGTTTAATTTGTCTTTTTCCCCTGAATTTTTTTTTTTTGAAGATTTTATTTATTTATTTGACAGACAGACAGCAAGAGAGGGAACACAGCAGGGGGAGTGGGAGAGGGAGAAGCAGGCTCCCTGATGTGGAGCAGGAAGCCTGACGTGGAACAGAGAGCCTGACGTGGACTCGATCCCAGGACCCTGGGATCATGACCTGAGCTGAAGGCAGGCGCTTAACGACTAAGCCACCCAGGCGCCCCTCCCCTGAATTTTTTTAAAGATTATTTATTTATTTGAGAGAGAGAGAGGGAGAGAGAAAGCATGAGTAGGGGGAAGGGGCAGAGGGAGAGGGAGAAGCAGACTCCCCGCTGATCAGGGAGCCCAGATGTGGGGCTTGATCCCAGGACCCCAAGATCATGATGGGAGCTGAAGGCAGATGCTTAACTGACTGAGCCATGCAGGCGCCCCTCCCCCGAATTTTTCTTAATTATTGGCCATTATGTCTCTATGTGACTCAAGCGCCCAATGATATGTATTTGATGACTGTAAGTCTAATGCATGATTTTCCCTAAAAGCACCATGACTTCCCAGGGCTTGAGCACTTGAGCGAGTTTGAGAACAGCCCTCCCGGCTCAGAGGAGGGAGTGACCCCGCAGGGCCTCCCCAGAGGGTCTGGATCAGACTCGGGTCTCCCACCTCAGTCGGCGGGGGGAGGGATTGGGAGTTGAGCCCTGTCCTCCTTAGGGAATTCCTTAACCAACTGAGCCACCCAGGCGCCCCCTCCTTAGGGAATTCCTGCAGGCAGGACTCCCTCCCTGTGACTCTTCCTCTCAGCCGGGAACAGGCTGAAAGGCCTTAGGATTTTAGGTGCCACCTCTCCCAGGGGTCTGTGCCCTGGAAGAGGTCCTCTGGAGAATGACACTCTTTAATAGTGGAGATGTGAATGGACCCTGGGTCACCATCTCTCTCTGCCTCCCTGTGAGGTAGGGCACGGCCAAGCCTGTGCCCGCCCAGGGACCCCACCCTCCCTTCATGCCTCACCTTCCACATGGCCAGGACCAGGAGCGTGAGCAACACCAGGCCGCCGAGCGCACCTACCAGCACCCACCAGATGGGAATGTCCCTTTCCTCCAAGGCTCGAAGCAGGTGCGTCTGCACCTGAGGGCAAACCCACATGTTTTCTCAGTCACCTTGCCACCTGCCTCTCCCAAAGACTCAAACTTGTGGGCTGAGGACCCCCAACCAAGCCACCTACCTGTGCCACCCCTCAGACGCGGGGATGCCCCACCCCCACCGTGTGGGGCGCCGACGCTTGGGAAGACAGTGGGTCCTGCAGGCTCCATACTCACCAGAGTTTCCCCACTAGGCAGGCTGAGGGCGGGCACAGCGTAGGGAAGGGAGGAGACGTTGAACCAAGCTTGCGACTGCAGCACGAACTGATCCAGTGGCCTCTGAATGGGGTGGGTGAAAGCCATTTACGTGGGCCGATTGGTAGCAGGAGTCCCGGCCCTGGCCTAATCCCCTCCCCTCAAAAGTAAGCCTTGCCCTCACTCCCTCTTCAGCCCCTGCCGCCCCTGCCGCCCCATCTCTCCCCACAGCAAGCTTGGGCCCCGCCCCCAGAAAGCCCCGCCCCCCGGCGCCCCCCTCCCCACCTGCTGGAGGCCAGGCTGCTGCAGGAAGGCCAGCACCCTGACCATGGCCCGCTCGCCTCGCACCATCTCCTGCAGCTCACACTGCACCACCGTGTGCGGCCCCGAGGCGCAGCTCTAGGGGGATGCCTCGTTAGTTCCCAGCCCCTCGGACCCCTCAGCCCTCACCACCCCAAGGGCCCAACAACAGAAAGGGGCAGCGGGGACAGGGAGCCCGGGCCTCCCTCGCAGGAAGGGCCTCAGATTCAAGCTTCTGACTTTATCTCTGAATGGGGCTGCTCACACGGTTCCAGAGATGCAGGGAAAGGGTGGGAAGAAGTGGGTCATCATACAGCGTTCAACACCCAGAACTTTTGTAACTCTGCTTTGGCATGTCTTCATTTTCTTTAATGTCCTGGGAACCTCTGAAGATTCAAGGACCCCCACCCGGCCCCAGACACAAGACCAGCCCCAGCCTTCATACTCACCTGGAGCATTCCTTGGGACCAACGTGGTCCACCCAAGGCCCACATCACATTGCTGGTCCCTCTCCCTGCCTCTCAGAGCCTCTGTCCCCTGTGCCCCAGGGAGACCCCAGCTGGAGACCATGGAGCCTGCTCACCAGGAGAACTGGATCCTGAAGCCTGGCCGGCTGGTTGGACCCTGGCAGGGACGCCTGTCTGCGCTCCCGCTTGTGATGCCCGGGGGAGGTGGGGGAGGGGCTGGGGGTCGGCAGCCTCCAGTTCAGCTGGGGAGGCAAAGAAGCAGTGGGTCCAAGCTCCACTCATCCCCCCTCACTCCCAGAGGGGCCCTGGTTGATGGGCTGGGGCCCCACCCACAACCCTTTCTTCCAGCCAGGCTCTCACCTTGTAGGGGTTAGGAGTGGGCTGGGGGGAGCACTGAAGCCCCCCCTGGGGCTGTATGTCCAGGATGTAGAGCAGGTCAGAAGGCTGGGACTGGCCAGGGAGGCAGAGGCTGAGGCGGAGGCCACTTACAGTGCCAGGGCCATTGTTGTGGAGCTGGCGAGTGGGTGGCCGGATGTTAGGTGGCTCAGCACCCACCGCGTAACTCCTGGGTCCCTGCCCCCCCCCCAGTCTGGGTCCCAGAAGGCCCTTCATACCTCATAGGTGTGCTCCACTTTGGGGCCCCAGATGTCGGAGCTGTTCTCCCTGTTGTCTTCTTTGGCCACCACCACCAGGGAGGCTGGAAAGGAGTTCCTGTGGGGCCCGAATCCCTCTGGGTGAGGTTGATCAGTTGACTCGCCTGTAGGGGTTCCTCCAAAGCCCTCTGAAGCTGAGGGTTCTGCCTGCCATCTCCCTGATCCACCCCTGGGCTCACCCTCGCAGCTCCACGTGGGCCTCTGCCCGGACTGGGACATCCAGCAGCACAGCCTCGCTGTTCGGATTCTGGCTGTTCTTGCTGGAGGGGAGCGGATAAGGAGAAGCAGGTCAGGGACACCAGCCCAGTGGACATCAGAACTCTCTGGGGCAGGGCCAGAATTTCAGAGGGGTCGGGAAGTGCTAAGTCCACAAACAGCTCGCCACACTGAAGTTAGACCTGGGAAAGACCTTTTTCTAGGGCTCCAAGACCCAGACACAAGGCTCTGGGGAAGAAAGGGAACGGGGAAGTCTGAAGAGCGGGCATCCCAGAAGATCCTTCTGGAAGGAGGGCATCTGAGGGTGTCTGCATCAGGATCAGCCAGGGGAAGGGAGGTGGGTAGGAATGTTTCCCAGTCCAGTACCTTCTGATCTGTAGCCAGAAGGACACACGTTCCCCAGCCTCTTCCAGGTTCTCCACACTCACCAACATTGTGATTCCTATCTGAGAGACAGGGAGGGCCGAAGTCACGGCCCAGATGCCCACTCTGGGCAGCCCTGTCCCACTATCTCAGAAGCCCACTCAGCCAAGAACACAGGGAGTGTGAGGACCAGGATTCTAGCCCAGAGCTACAGGACTCCAAGCCCAGCCCCTAAAACTCGGCTGTGTCTGAGCCGCTGGTGGAGCGGACCCAGCACCCACGCCTTGGGGCCTCACCCGGGCATTCCTCTTCATGGGGTTGCCCAGCTCACACAGCACCATCTTGGTCTCATTCTCCTTCTTCTGGTTACAGATGAGTCTCTCAAAGCCCTTCAGGGAGGTAGTTTCAAGAAAGCAGATGGTTGGAGTATCCCATATACGTGCAAACTCCCTTGGAAAGTCTGCAAGGGACTCATGTGCCAGGGTGGAGAGGGGGGCTTCTCAGGGTGGGAGTTTGAGGGATGTCACATTCTCCTTTACGTATCCCGGGGGCACCTTATTATTTTCTTTTTTTTTTTTTTTAAAGATTTTATTTATTTATTAGAGAGAGAGACAGCGAGAGAGGGAGTACAGCAGGGGGAGAGGGAGAGGGAGAAGCAGGCTTCCTGCGGAGCAGAGAGCCCGATGCGGGGCTCGATCCCAGGACCCTGGGATCATGACCTGAGCCGAAGGCAGATGCCTAACCAACTGAGCCACCCAGGCGCCCCTTGGTTTGGGTTTTAGAATAGTCCTCGGATTTTATGCTATTAGCAAGAACACCTTTTCCAAATTAAAAAAAAAAAAAAAAAATCAAATCACAGTTTTTACAAGCAACACCTAAGAGAAGCGGGGGCTCTCAGGTGGAAAATGAGAGGCAGGGCTCTTGTACCTCCCAGGTCCCTGGGAATGCCCCCAAGGTGGGGCCTCACCTCGATGTTGCTGACGGCCCGCATGTAGTGGGCGCCTAGGGGCAGGTGCACGGCCAGCTCCGCTTCGTAGGCCCCCTCGCCCTCATTGGCTGCATCCATCTGCAGCTCCAGCACATTATCGGCTCCAATGAGGAGGGGGGAGCCCATCCTGTGGGGAGAAAGGAGTAAAGCGGAGGAGGCCGGGCCCAGGCCCAGGGCCTGGGAGGGGAGTGAGGACAGAGTATCAGGTGGAGAAGGGCTGTCATGGGGCGGGCGGCCTCCTCACACGTTGGCGGTGAGCTGGAGCTGGGGCACACACAGGTCATCTTCCCCACAGTCCAGGATGATTCGGGTCTAGAAGAGGCACATCAAGGTGTGCGGGTGAGTTGGGGACATGTGAAGTTTGGGGGGAGGGTCACATGAGGACTTAGGGAATTAGAAGGTCTGAGAATGAAAAGGAGTTTGGAGCTGACGTCACGGCTTTGGGGTTTGCATCAGGGTTTGGGATGATGTCAGGACGGTGACATCAGGATTTATGGGTTTGTCAGAGTTTACAGGTGACGTCAACAACACGTGGGGCTTGAATCAGGGTTTAAGGAATTTTGAATTTTGGGGGCTTTCATTAAGGTTTAGAGTGACATCAAAGATGAGAGGTGACATCAAGGTTTTGGGGTTCCCATTAAGACCTGGACACTAACCCTAACCCTGACTTTCTGGGAGGGGTCCTGCACCTCCTTTGTCTGTTCCCATCCACCCCCACCTGCTCCTGGACATGGGTGTCTCCATGAAGCACGACAGCAGGGGCTACTCCATCCTTCCTGGGTTGCAAGGACACATTGAAGCTGAGCACAATGGGGCTCAGCTTGTCCCGGAAGTCGGCCTCATCCTAGGGAGGGGACAAGAGTCAGACCATGCACCCTGCCGTACATGTCCCACTGACCACCCTCGTACCCGCAGCATCCAGCCCATGCCCCAGGGCTGGAGGAACAGGATTGCACACCCAGCCCTTCCCATCCCCAGCCTGGGTGTACTCGAAGGAAGGCCACGGTGGTGTGGCAGATGGGGCTGTGCCTCCCGCCCAGGTCCAGATGCAGCGTGGTGCCCGCCAGTTGCGAATTCAGCAGTAGCACCCGCCGGCCCTGGCGGGGCTTCTGCCGGTCCAGCTGCAGCTCGGCGTTTAGGGCTGGCAAGGGAAGCAGGGAGGGTCAAGGTCTCCCTGGCCAGCCTCCAGGGGAGCCAGACCCACTGCCCTCTGTCCCCATGATGACACTCACGCAGCTGCTGAGGAATGTTGTGCCCAGTGGCTCCTACACACATCTGTATGTTAAAGCTGCAAAGATAGGAGTTGGGCTCAGGGGCTAGGGCCCCTCAAGGAAGGTCCCAGACCCTGTCCAGCCCATGCCCTCTGTCTCCTCACCAGCTCACGCGCGCCTGGGTCTGGGGCAGGACACAATTCTTCACAGCAGGATTCAGTGAATCTTGTACCAGCAGCTGGACATTGGCCATCACCACTGGCTGAGCTCTGGTGGCATGGGGGGAGGTTTGCCATTGTGGGCCCCCCTGGCCCAGTATCCTCTGATGGTGCGGACCGTCCCCCACCACGCCCCTGGAGCCGGCACTTACCTGTACACAGCCACCTTATTGGCCCCATAAGCTCCCACCAGGAGGTCTACAGATATTGGAGGGGTCAGAATCAGCCATTAGAGGAGGCATGGGGTCCTCACCTCAGCTTTCTCGGGGTTTCCCACACCATTTCCCCCCCTGGGGTTTTGACCTGGCCTCCCTTGGCCTCCCAGCCTCCCAGACGGGTCAGAACACTCAGTGGGGCACAGGCCCCCACTGTGTCCTTCAGCATCTCCAGCTAATGCCCAAGAGCCCTTCTTGGCTAGCTGGATGCATTCCAGGGGCACCTGGGTATCCATTGTCATCGATGTCTGCGGCACCTCGCAGGGAGAAGCCGAAGCCAGAGCCTGCTGGGAAGGGGCTGTCCAGGACCTGGGAGGGGCGGGAGCTCAGCCCCTCGCTCTGCCCCAGGAACACCAGCACTTGGCCCCGACCACTAGGACCTCCGTATGGGGCGGCCACTGCAACATCTGGAAGGAGCAACAGAAGGGGAGGGGCTGTTTGCTATCATTTTCTCCAATTTCTGTTTGTTATCCCGGTGGCCCCGAGCTCCCTCTCCCGGGAGACCCCAGGGGATCAGCAGCGGGATACAAGAGTCAGCGTCAAGGAGGCACCTGCCCTGCCCTCCAGGAGTTTACAGCTGAGTACAAGAGAGACCCGCCAAGTAGGATGATTATAAAAACAGTAGCAGCCCTTGGTATCTATTGAGGAAAATATATTGACATAATTTCATTTAATCCTGAAAATTAGGCATTATTATTCCCATTTTAGATGAAAAAACTGAGTCCCAGAAGATTAAATAACCAAGACCTATTAAGTAGTGGCCCCCTTTTCCCCTAGGGAACTTCATCCCATTTCTTTCTTTCTCTCTCTCTCTTTTTTTTAAAGATTTTATTTATTTTAGAGAGAGAGAGAATGCGCATGCATGTGCGAGCAGGAGGGGCAGAGGGAGAGGGAGAGAGAGAATCCCAAGCAAGCTCCACGCCCAGCATGGAGCCCAACTTGGGGCTCCATCCTATGACCCTGAGATCATGACCTGAGCCAAAATCAAGAGTCAGACGCTTAACCAACTGAGCCACCCAGGCTCCCCCCTTCAATTCCACCATGCAAACTCAGAGCCACACTATGGGCTTGTCATCACTAATAACTTTTAAGATCACTCTTGAAAATGTATTTGTTAATCATCATAATCTTATTACTTTATAAGAGTTCTTTTTTTTTTTTTAAAGATTTTATTTATTTATTTGACAGAGAGAGACACAGCGAGAGAGGGAACACAAGCAGGGGGAGTGGGAGAGGGAGAAGCAGGCCTCCCGCGGAGCAGGGAGCCCGATGCGGGGCTTGATCCCAGGACCCTGGGATCATGACCTGAGCCAAAGGCAGACGCTTAACGACTGAGCCACCCAGGCGCCCCTTTATAAGAGTTCTTTACATGTGACAGCAATAAGATCTTTTATATATATGTTGTAACTCTCTTTCCTTTGTCTTCTGACTTCGTTTTCTATGCACCTTTTTTCCTTTAAAAAAATCTATTGATTTTTCTGATTGAGTTACATGGAATTCATCCAAATAAGTCCACCCTGACCAGTCTCATCCCCAGGCTCTGGGCCGCCCCTCCCTCCTGATCTTTAGCATCTTCCTCTCTTTGCTTATTTCTGACCATTCGATCACCCTGGTCAGATCCTCTGCCATCTTACCCCATCGCCAGTCCTTAGCAAGCCTGGCCAGACCTCAGCAGATGGGGCCCCAGGGATTCCTGACCTCCCATCTAAACTAGGGATGGATCAAGGCGGTGCCCAGTGGTCCCGAGGGGGTTCTGCTCAGCCCCCTCTCCCACTCTGCTCAGCACCTATTTCAAACTTTCTGCAAGCTCCCAGCCCCCTACCTCCTTCACAAAGAGAAGCAGCCCAACTCTTGTGCTATAAATCCAAACCCTCTTTCCCCAACTCCTAATCTGCCACCAGGCTAAATATCCCAGCCCAGCCTTCTCCGAGGAGCATCACAGGGACACTCCTCTGGCTCACTTCCCTCACCACCCTGTTTCCCCACAAGATCATGTCCACCACCTTCAACCTACTCCATATGCTTTGAAATAAGAATCACCTTCTCTTGACATTCACCTTTCAGGAATCTTTTCTTTTTTCTTTCTTCTTTTTGTCCTTTCACAAACTGGTTGAAGGAGCGGTCTACACTGGCTGCCTCCAGTTCTTCACTTCCATTCTTACCCTGCCCCATGGCATTCTGACTTCTGTGCCTACCCAGCCCTGAATCAGTTTCTTCTCACTGTCACCAATGACCTCCTTCTTGCTAAAGCCCACGGAGACTTCTCCAGCCCCATCTAATGATGTCTTTAGGCAGCATCTGGAACCACTGACCCCCTTCCTCCTGCTCAGAGCATTCTCTTGCTTTCAGTTCTGGGCCATGAGATCTCCTGGTTTCCCTTCTACTTCTCTGGACACTCCTGTCTCCTTTCTAGACTCACTTCCGCTAAACGCTCTAGCTCCCCAGGGCTTTGTCCCATGCCTCTTCTCACTTCACAGGTGCCCGGGGCCTCATCCACCCTCCCCAAGCCCCTGTCTCCCACTCGGAACTCTCTGGTGCCAGTGGGGAAGGCACACATAACTGTTCTCTGGATGTCTGCCTAACGCTCCCAAGCCCTTCAAGGTCAAACAGGCCCAGAGCTGAACTGCTGATCTCCGCCCCTGCCCTCCCCTCCCCAGGCCCGATACTTGGCCTGAACTCCAGGCAGCAAAGGCACCAGCACCCCCTCAACTCCTTGCTCTCTCTTAGCTCCACATCCAGCACCCATTGAGTCCTAATAGTCCAGGTACTGAATATCTGTGAAATCACCCCATCTCTAACTACACTGCCAAAATCCACACCCAGGTGGTCACCATCTCTTGCCTGGACGAATGCAAACAAATCCTAAGTGGTCTCTTTCAACTCTTCTCCCGAAAAGCCCCCTTCCCCAGCTCCCGCTGCCCTCCGGTCAAATCCGTGGTCTTTATTGTGGCTGTTAACCACTCTGCAGCAAGTGGGGCTCCTCTCTTCCCTTACCGTTGTAGCCATCCCGGTCGAGGTCACCCAGGGGTGCGATGGCCGAGCCGAATCGCCCGTAGAGCTGAGTGCCGGTCAGCAGGAGGCTGGGGGCGCCCAGCACGTGGTGACCTCGAGGCTGCAGGAACAAGTACACGCGCCCCACCTCGGCCAGTTTGCGGTCAGCGCGGCTCTCCATGTACAGAGGGGCGCCCACCAGCAGGTCGTGCCTCCTGCAGGCCAGACGGGCAGTGCAGTGGGGTGGGCTAGGGGGATGCGGCGGGCCTGGGCCAAATCTCGCCCATTCCATTCTCACCCTCCCGCTCCCCTCGGTGATCGTCAGGTGGGAGTGGGCAGGGAAAGGAGGAGACCGAGAGCAGTCAACCCCTCTGGTGACTGGGGACCCAAACTGGTAGGGATGGGGCGCCCCTCACCCATCTCCGTTGACATCAGTGACGGTCACCGAGTGTCCAAAATACGAAGCCATCTGCAGGAAGACGAGGCATACTTAATTCCCGCCCCCAGGCCTGCACCCTCTCTTACACATCGCCCCCCCCACCCCGTGGAATATTCTAGGGTTCCAATTCCCCAGCGTCGGCCACCCCCACTGGGGCGGGCCTCCACCTGCTCTCCATGCAGCTTGTGCAGCGTCTGGTGGTACGAGTTCAAAATTTCCACCTGCACGGAGAACGCACAGGAGCGCGTCATTCTTGCTCCCCAGGTCAGCCTCCCGTCTCGGGTGAGAAAGGGAAGGAGGTTTAGGGGGCTTGGGGATGCCCGGTGGCGGGACAGGGCACTCACCGCTCCCAGGGTCCAGCTCCAGGTCGGGGCACCGAGGACATACTCTGGGGAGAGCCGGACCCCAGTGAATGAGGTCCTTCGAACCTACCCCCCTCCCACCCGCCATTCTGCAACCCAGAGGAGATTTCGGTGCGGGGCTTGGAAGTGCTCCTCCCCGGGCTGGGCTCCCCAACCTTTGTCCCTAAATGGATTTCTTGCCTGTAGTACTGAGATCCCCGTCGAACTCTCCCACGGCCACCGAGTACCCTGAAGACACAGCACGAATTAATCTTTCTGGGAGGGCGAAGCAGGGAGAGGGCCAAGGGCGAGGAAGAAGGGGACTCAGAGACCACCCAGTCCAAACCCTGCATTGTGGAGATGGGAAAACTGAGGCCAAGACCTGCCCTAGGCTGCGCAGCTAATCCAGGGTGCGAAAGATAAGCTGGGGCATATGGGAGTGGGGCGGTGGCGGGGAAGCTGTGGGAGCCGAGGGCGGAGGCGCCTTAGGTGCTGAGGTTGGCCAGCTGGGGATGGCGCTGCGGCACGGAGTGGGCGGTGATAGAGTGCGGGGAGGCCTAGAAGGGAGGCGCCAGGGTTACCCCGGTAGCCGTCGTAGTACTCTGGCTTGCTGTAGTCGAAGGTGAAGCTCTGGTTGGGCACGTGCCACAAGAGGGTGCCTGGGCGGTAACTCGAGACGATACTGGTAATGGGAGCCCGCGCCAGGAGACCTAGGGCGCAAGGGACAGCGGGTGTGGGGGCCGAGACTCCTGGGGTCTCCCCAGGCCCAGAGAAGGGAGGGAGGTGTACAGATGGGCAGGTACCTAAGAAAAAATAGCCGCCAGGGGCCCCAAGCACCAGCTCTCCAGCCTGAAAGGGAAGCCCTGGAAGTGAGAGGGAGTCCTGTTTGGGAGCCGCCCCCACGCCGCTTAGGCTCCCTACTCGCCTGAGTAACCACGGAGCTGAAGCCCGCTTCGCAGTAGCGCCGGTCGTCTCCTGGAGGGGGAAGGGGGCGGGGTCAGCGAAGGAGCCGATCGAGGAGCGTGCACTGGAGCCTGGGCCGCGGCGGGTCTAGGAGCTGGGCCGGGGAGGGGCTAGGAGCTGGGCCGGGGCGGGTCTAGGAGCTGGGCCGGGGCGGGGTTAGGAGCTGGGCCGGGGAGGGGCTAGGAGCTGGGCCGGGGCGGGTCTAGGAGCTGGGCCGGGGCGGGGTTAGGAGCTGGGCCGGGGAGGGGCTAGGAGCTGGGCCGGGGCGGGTCTAGGAGCTGGGCCGGGGCGGGGTTAGGAGCTGGGCCGGGGCGGGTCTAGGAGCTGGGCCGGGGCGGGTCTAGGAGCTGGGCGGGGCGGGTCTAGGAGCTGGGCCGGGGCGGGGCTAGGAGCTGGGCCGGGGCGGGGCTAGGAGCTGGGCCGGGGAGGGGCTAGGAGCTGGGCCGGGGCGGGGTTAGGAGCTGGGCCGGGGAGGGGCTAGGAGCTGGGCCGGGGCGGGTCTAGGAGCTGGGCGGGGCGGGTCTAGGAGCTGGGCGGGGCGGGTCTAGGAGCTGGGCGGGGCGGGTCTAGGAGCTGGGTCGGGGTGGGGCTAGGAGCTGGGCCGGGGCGGGGCTAGGAGCTGGGCCGGGGCGGGGCTAGGAGCTGGGCCAAGGAGTTGGGCCACCGGGGATGCCAGACTGAGAGTAGGCCTAGGGGGCGTCCGGCGGGGGGTGGGGGTGGGTAATTAGGTTGAGGGCGGAGCTAAGGCGCCGTGAGTGGGCGGAGACAAAACGGAGAGCGGAACTCACTAAAGCCGTTTTTCACGTAAACCTGGCTCATGGTGTTAGCCCGACAGGGCGAGTACTCTGCGCGGTGGCCGTTCTGGAGCTGAGCCACGAAGCAGCCGCCTACGGGCGTCTTCTCAGCCTCTTCGGTCTTTTCTAGGGCGTTCCAGTGCTGCCAGGGGGCGCAGGCCTGGAGCAGGGCCACAGGAGAGTGGGGAACCGGCGGGACTCGGCGTTGCCCCCCTCCACGTGTCCCTGCCCACGACTGCTCTCTGTGCCCCGTTCCGCGGCGCCCACCACAATGTTGTCGTTCCAGCTGACGACCGACGCCCCCAGTCCTTGCCGGGCCTTGAAGGTTTGGAAGGTGTGGGAGCCTACGTGTCGGGTCTCATCATCTGGAGGGCACAAGAAGGGTGGGGCGCTGAAGCCCAGCCGTCCACGATCCCTGTAGCCCCCCCCCCCTTTTCCCTCCTTGCGCTGGACTCACTGAGGTGGAAGGGCAGCAAGGTGCACTGGCTGCCCTCGGCCCTCCAGGGGCACAGGAACACGCCGCCTGTCTCCTCCTGGCTGGGGCCCAGGGTTCGCGGGGCGCCCGCCACGATGGCCACTCTGCGTAGGAAAGCTGGGTGAGCGCGGTGCGGATCCCGAGGTACCACATGGCCCGGCGCCTGCGCTGAGAGCACTACCCAGAAGAGCTGTGTGCCTTGGAGGGCACTGGATCATCTTCCCTCAATGAGACATCACAGACCATGGAGGCCAGCTTTCTCATTTTATGGGCAATGAAACTGTCTCCCAGTGGGGAAGCCACGTGCCTAAAGTAGTCTAGCAAGTTAAGGGTAAAGTTGGTACTATAACTATTTGATTTGATTTAAATATGAGGAGTTTGTCATCCTTGCTGAGAAAGACCTCCTAAGCTCTGCACACCATCCACACTCCATATCCCTCACCCTTGTGCCCCACACCAAAAGTCAGGGGTTGACATGCTCCCTAGAACTTAAGATTGTTACCAGATACCTTCCTGAGAGCTAGTTTTAATGGTGAAGAATTAGGGAAGCTACTGAGCACCTCTAAAGTGAGGGTACTGATTTCACTGAGGACCTTAGTAGATCTAGGTTCAAACCATAGTTCTACCATATATAAATTGGGGACAATACCAACCAATGTCAGAAGTAAATGAAATCAATGTATGAGAGACATTTTTGCACGGTGCCAACCAAGTAACATATAACAAGTACTCAAAAAAATGCTGTAATTTTCTTTTTTTTTTTTAGCTCACAGGATGTTTAAGTAATGCCTATGAGGCCAATATCTGTAGAAAGAAAGGGAAAGGGGCGCCTGGGTGGCTCAGTCAGTTAAGTGTCTGCCTTCAGCTCAGGTCATGTCCTGGGATCGAGCCCCACGTCTCCTTGCTCAGCAGGGAGCCGGCTTCTCCCTCTGCCGCACCCCCTGCTTGTGCACTCTCTCCCTCCCTCTCTCTGACAAATAAATAAAATCTTAAAAAAAAAAGGGGGGGGCGCCTGGGTAGCTCAGTCATTAAGCGTCTGCCTTTGGCTTAGGTCGTGATCCCAGGGTCCTGGGATCGAGTCCCGCATCGGTCTCCCTGCTCAGCGGGGAGCCCGCTTCTCCCTCTCCCACTCCCCCTGCTTGTGTTCCCTCTCTCGCTGTGTCTCTCTCTGTCAAATAAACAAATAAAATACTAAAAAAAAAAAAAAAAAAAAAAAAGGGAAAGGAGCAGGAGTGGGCAGAGAAAGGAGTATGGTGCAGATTCAGGGCGAACAGCCTGGGAGCTCTGGAGCTAGAAGGACCCTTCAGAGCCGTCCCAAGTTGAGGTGAGAACATCACACCCTCACGCCTCTCTCCTCCTTCCACACTCCTCATTGATCAGTCGCTGGTTGTAGGCCACCTTGGAAAGGGGACTTTGGGGGAGGTGACTCTTCAGCAGAGAAATCCCCCAAGAGGCAGATACTTGAGGGCTGCCTGCTATCCCCAGGGGTGGGCATCACAGCGCTACCACAGTAAGTCCCTAGTGCAGGGTAGTTACTATAAAGAGAAGGAACCAGGACTCTCATCTTGGAAGTCTGATTTCGCAGCTGACTAATCCCAGCCATTAATGCTCTATTGTTTCTTTTCAAATATCTGTAATTTTGATGGGGATGAGAGGCATGGAGTAGAAAAGCAAGGTGGGAGTGGGTAGACAGTTTTGCAAGTCAATTTCAGACATGTGCTCCTCTCTGTATTTGGAGGAGACCAAGGTGGAGTGGGTCATACAACTGATCCTTGAGGGAAAAAATAAGGCATCAACTTTTATCTTCCCTTTGTTCTTGCTGTAGTTTTGGTGTCCACCTTCCCATTTGTGCCCCTCCCTGACACCCTTACCTGAGCTAGTTCTGCCAGTATTCCTCAAAAGAACTCGTTCTGAATAGAGCCTAAAAGTCTCTTTGCTCAACCTCTATAGCAAATGGGGAGCTTGAGGTTCACAGAAGTGATGATGGTGGGGAATCCTCTCTCCCAACACCCAAACTTCACCCCAGGCTCACCTCCCATGGTTGTCCTTGTAGAAGTCCAGTGAAAACCCAAAGTGGCTGCCATTGGGGCCTGTGTACAAGGTGAGTTGCACTGGGTCCAGGTTCAAGGCCCAGGCTGGAGGGACGGCATCAGGTCCCAAGAGCAGCTGCACCCACTCCAGAAGCCAGAGGGCATGAAGTGGACACACAGCTCTGGCCATCTTCCTTCTCCCACAACCTCCTAGGCAGGAATGGGTGAGCTCCTTCCTCTTCCTTTCAGTCTCCACCACAGGAAGGCTTTTCTTATCAAACTGGAACCCACTTGCTGAGCAGCAGGCAGAGGAAAGAGCCATATGGTTTCTTGGATTGCCAGAAAGGGGGTGAGGCCACCCCGGGGGTGGATGCTAATGACTGAAAGCCATGACTCCTCCCTTTCCCTGAGAGTAGTTTATCACCAAGTCCTGTTGGTTCTGCCTCTCAACTATGTCTCCTGAATCTTCACATTTCCACTCCCACCATGCTAGTCTAAGTCACCGTTCCTTTCTGCTTGGGGTAGCATAACCATGAACTGGTCCGTACACCTCCACTCTAGCCGTTTTACAGCTCTTCGTCCCCACCTCACAGCTGCCTGCATTGCTGTGGCCCACTGTGACTTGGTCAGAGGTGGAGGAAGGAGGAAGGAAGCTGCTGTCCCCCTGATAAGACTTGAGGCTGCTATATCCTTTTGGATAAGGCACTTACCCACTTCCTCCTTCCAGGGTCTTGGTCAGCCATATTGGTGTAGCAAGCTGCTTCACTCTCCCTCCATCTCAGGCCAAGTCTTAGTGTGGTCACAGCAATGCAGCTGGTGCTGGTGAAGGGGTGGTGAAGGGGAAAGGAAGTGGGGATACAGTGGAGTCCAGGGTATTCTGGTTCACAGGCTCTGGGACTATATACCAGGAGTTCAGTTGAAGGCAGACCCTCACTCTTTCTTGGGTGACAGAGCTCTTGTCCAATCAAGACTTGATTCTAGTGGGGTCATTGCCTAGGGGAAGCCTCCCTCGATTCCTCAGGCTGGCACTCTGGAGTTGACACATGTGGGCACAGCAGTGATCACACTGTTTAGTCATGGTCCATTCATGGACATGATTGTGTCCATGACTCCCTTGAGAGCAAGTCTCCTTTCTGTGGCCCCAGGGCCTAGCCAAAAGCCCAACACCTAGTAGGCATTGCTGACAGACGGACTGAATGGGAGCATGCACTGAGGATGGAAGATGCAAACATGGAGTCACAGTGGAATGAGAATAGTTTTGAGCAGAAAGGCAAGGTAATTTTCTCTGGATGACAAGAAGAGGAATGCCAAGTCTTACTGGCACTGCAGGTCTTCCCCAAAAAAGCAGGTTCTCAGGAAGGAAATTCAAGAGATCTGCTCAGGGTAAAGGAAGACCGCCACATCCTCCTTTTACTCTATATTTTCTAACCAAACTTAACCACCATCTTATCCTGCCCAGCTATCCTTTTTTTTTTTTTTTTTTAAGATTTTAAAAATTTATTTGACAGAGAGAGGGAACACAAGCAGGGGGAGTGGGAGAGGGAGAAACAGGCTTCTGTTGAGCAGGGAGCCCGATGTGGGGCTTGATCCCAGGACCCTGGGATCATGACCTGAGTGGAAGGCAGAGGCTTAACGACTGAGCCACCCAGACGCCCCTCCTTTTTTTTTTTTTTTTTTTTTTTAAGATTTTGAGACAGCAAGAGCCAGCAGAGGCAAAGGGAGAAGCAGGCTTCCGTTTAGCAGGGAGCCCAACACGGGGCTCGATCCCAGGACCCCGGGATCATGACCTGAGCCGAAGGCGGCCACCTAACCGACTGGGCTACCCAGGCACCTCCTGCCCAGCTATCCTGTGCCATCCCGGAGTCCGTTCAGCTCCTCCGTTCCCCTAATTCACCATCTCAGCACACAGCTCAAAATCCTATCCCTTACTAGATTAGTAACTGGATGTGGTAGGGAGGTGTCAAAGTAATTCAAAGCTTTGTTGCCTGGCTGGCTGGTAGGACAGTGGTACCATCAGCTAAAATTGGAATTGGATCAGATTTGGGAAGTGAGAGAAGTTTGGTATTCGAGAGTTTGGTTTCTCACGGGTGTTCCTTTGGAGCCAGAGCTGGGTTGATCTCCCTTCTGAGAGAGTAGAAAGAGGAGTGTTGATACATTGGTCCCACTTTCCCATCCCATCAACCTTGAGTCCTAGAATTCCTCAGTGAATCCAAAGTTTTGTTAAAGCTTCATTAAGTCGCTAATCATTGAATTTCTGGAGCACCTGGGTGGCTCAGTCGGTTAAGCGTCTGCCTTCAGCTCAGGTCACAATCCCAGGGTCCTGGGATCAAGCCCTGAGAGTTGGGCTCCCTGCTCAGCAGGAAGCCTGCTTCTCCCTCTCCCTCTGCCACTCCCCCTGCTTGTACTTGCTCTCTCCCTCCTTGTCAAATAAAATCTTAAAAAAAAAAAAGAATTAAAAAAAAAATTACTGAATTTCTATGTGGCACTGAGCTAGGTGGAGGATATATAAAAATCCTTTATCATCTTTGATGCTTCCTTGCTAAATCCTTGTTTAGTCCTGTTAGTATTTTTTTTGTTCATATTTAAATACAGTCAAAATGTTTACTATGTGTTCAACTCTATGTAAAACACTCTAAAGGACTTAAAAAAAAAAAAAGGAAATGTAAGAATCAGTTCTCGTCCTCTCTGAGCTTACAGTTTTACTGAGGAGTAAATATAAAATGAATCACACCCAGATTCTGAAAAGCCAGTAAGCTTACATGGGATAGGGAATTAGATCCTGGTGAGCCCAGCCAGGAAAATGCTACAATAATTCAGACATGAGCTGATAAAGGGGAGGTGAAGGTATTTCTGGCAAATAATGGAAATGGTTGACAAGGCCCGATTTAGTCATCAAGGGTGTAGGAGAGGGAGCATGTCCATGTTGCCAGCACAGGTGGCTGAAGCAGGTAGCTGAAAGAACCCTTACTGGAATCAAAGCACCTGCACATGCCCCCCTAACAGCACTCTCTATAGGCCAGTCTGCCTCTTTCACTGCACCCTGCCTGCTCAGAAAGTCACTTTCATTTCCTAACATGCCTTCTTTCTGGGCAGGGATTTTGCTATTTTAGGAAAATAGGCAGATCTCAGATCCAACCCAAGGTTCAAATTGAACAGCTTCTCTTTCGTCAAGGGGAGCTGTATGAGAGAACAGGAAAGAAAGAGACATTGTACTACTCCTTCCTGAAAGGCTGAGGGAGAGAGGAAACCTTATCACTGTAAATCTATGGTTAGCTTTTGATGCTAAACTTTCTCTGCTTTTTGTGATTTTTTTTTTTTTTGAAACAGAAGAGTAGATAGAGGCTTTTATCTGCTCTAACAATTAGAGCACATTTCCTTTTACCAGGTAGCTCCCACACACTGCAGTGTAGTATTAAAAGGTTAAGGAGAATAACTGAAGACTGGTCGGGTATACAAAACTCCATCTGGAAGGCAAAGGCCAGGCAGATGACTTGTAATCCCATCACCCTGAAGTTCATCCCAAATCCTAAAAGTCAAAGCCAGAAATTCCAAACCCATTTAGTGAGCACCTACGTGCCATACATTCTACCACACAGATTATATATATATCTAAACTGAGGAAAAAAGGAGACACAGAAGAAAATTCTTGTGGGAGAGTGGAAAGGAGGTGCACATTCCAAGACATCTACCTAAGACTGAAAGAAAATTAACCACGATTATTTCCTTCTACAGCACAATTTCCCCCCTCTACTTGGGCAGCCTGTCTTGAGAAGCTCAGTTCCAAACATCATAAGCAACTCGTGCACAAGAATCTATCCCCTGATCACTTCACAAAATGTTATTTATAGCCCGTAACTCCATCCCTTCCCAGCTTGAACGGATGGGGCAACAATCACAACAGACTGCCAAGTTTCCACAAATCATTGGTTTATTAGAAAGTTCCTTTCCCTAATTTTACAGCATATATATCTCTATCATATGTGATAAAGTTAAATACAATCTGTAATGCTTGTAAGTAAGGATAGGTTATTTTGTTTTTCCTTTTTTTTTTTTTTTTTTAAGTTTTAAAATCACTATTCTGAAAGTTAAAGAAAACTGCCCCCAGGAAGGTAGAGAGGCAGCCAGAGTATGGCTCAATCTACAAGCTAATAGGAAGCAGCACAAAAATGTTAATACTGTATTATTTAAATATTTACATGGGCTGAAAGCAAAGAAAAATGAGTCCCTTCACTTCAAACAGATGATTTCATTTTTCCAGTGCTAGCTATCAAAAGTGATGCTTCTGAATCAGATGAGGAGCACTGAACAGGCAGGAGGCTCAGTCAAGAGCCTTGTTAGCCCAGCACTTGCTTCTCATAAACTCAAACCCCCTTTTCTTTTGGGAATCTAAGAAGAAAGGCAGAATATAGAGCCTTGGCCCAAGTAAGTAGGGTTTGTTTCTTCCTGTCCAGTGACCACCCAAACAATTCTAGCCACAGGAATAGGTAGGGAAATGCTAACTACACCAAAGATGAGACCTGCAATATAAATGGGTCAGTATGTTAATTTGGTCTGAGAGCCCAGGTGAAAGGCAAGAGGAGGAAGAGGAACTGAGGTGGTACTTCCTCTGGTAGGTGTCATGGGAGAAAAGGGAAAAAAAAAAAGTCTTCACTGCTTAAACTAGGCTGGGCAGAAAGCATGGAAACTGTGAAGCAAAAGAATCTGCAGTATCTGTAAGTGTGCTCACCTCCCCACATGAGAAGGAAGACACTGTCCCAACTCTATCATCCTCAAGTCTACTTCTACTTCAGTTTCTAGCCATCCCAAAAGGCACATTAAAAAAAAAAAAATTGTCAGAGGGGGCTAAGTACTAGGAAGGCAAATGGACTGCCTGGAACAAGGCACCCAGGAAACCCCCTGGAAAACCACTCTGAATCTCACTGCTTCCAGAGAATAAAGCTCTCGAATCTCTCCTTCCTCCTCTGTGGGCCCTCCTGTTTCTCTGTATAACAGATGATGGGAAATGTCGTAACTGAGGATCCCTCTGACACCCCCAGCTTACTGCTGCCCATTAGTTCAAAAATCCCAGTGCTGGGGGCACCACTTACTGCAAATGAACTAAACATTTTGTCCCAGCAAAAAATGTTAAACAATGTTCCTTTTTTTTGTTTTAACATTTTTATAGTTCATAACTTCAAAAAATACATGAGCTTGATAAAATATACATGCTTAGTCATTTTTGCATCTAGCAGAAAACAGATACTTTATTTTTTGTTTTCATTTTATAACCTTTAAAGTTTCTTAATTCAACTAGGGCAAACATATTTACACAAAGCCACCAGAACAAGGATCACTTAAAGAGCTGGATGTAAAAAATATTATTGCAGTATACTACAAATATGGAACCTTTTTTTATATGAGCTACAAAAAGCAGCATTTACGTTTATAGAGTTCAGTGCAATTTTTTACATTAAAAAAAAATCCTATAAATTAAGAAGGAAACATCAACATGACAGAAGAAAATACACCCTTCAGACACATGAGCTCCTCTCTGGGGAAGCACACGGGCGACTTTATGTTCCGCATAGCTTCTATTCATGATAGGATCTTCTTTTCTGGGATATGCAGATATCTCTTCTGGGATGAGGGACATGAGGACAACAGGGCCAAGTGTGTGGCTCTGTGTGGGAAGTGGATTGAATACAGCCTGAGTAGCATCTGGATCCAGGTCAGACTCCCTTTCCACCTCACCCAGGATAGCAAGAAGGTCACGAAGGGATGGTCAAAGACACTGAGAGGGCAGGACCAGATGGACAAACCGCCGGCCAGAGAGGAAGAAAATGTTTTACAATTTACAGAAGGGAAGAGCAGAGGATAAAAAGTAGAGAGGGGGAGGAGAGGAGTATCCAAACTCGAGAGTTTGGAGATGTTGCTGCAGAGGGGTGAGGAGCACTTACTGGTGTTCCCTAGCTTGGAAACACAGGAGAGGAAGGGACAAACAGAAAGGGGGAAGGGGGAAAAAAAAATCCCTGATAGTAAAACCCAAAGCAAACCTCAAATCTAAAACCACCCCTGCAAGCCAAAACTTGATTCTTTGGCTCTCAGACACTGCCCATCCCAGCTTGTACTTGCTGGTATTAATGGCTCAACACCCCTGAGGGAAGATATACAGGTCACCTTCCCTGGCCCTTCTTGGGCTCCCATCCCCCAAATCATGTGCCATGGCTAGGCGGGTGCTGCAGGTCCTGACCTGAGAAGATGGGGTGAAGTAGTGGGTGGAGGTGGAGGGCAGTGGCAGCTGCTGCAGCAGGCCGTGGAGCAAGCAGGGTAGGGTAGAGGGCAGCATGTGGGACAGGATGGAAGGTGAAGGGCCCAGGATGAATGGCTGAGGCAGGAATGATATGGATGGGATGGCTAGCGAGAAAGGTGGCAGGGTGGCCAGGGATGATTGAATGAGTGAGGTGGGACAAGGAAATGGGGGTTAGGTGGGGCTGGGGAATATGATGTACTTGGGCGAGTGGCTGGGGATGAGGATGGGGGTGAATTC